AGATGGCAGATTGAGGTGGCTTGTGTCTGTTTTCCAGGGTCGCTGAGCAGCCAGCATTAGAACACAGAGGCTAGACAATAGCTAGGCACCAAACCTCGAAACCCCCCCCCCCCCCCCAAAGGTCTCTTCCACACTCATTATCAATGACTTTCAATTACCCCTGTGCCAAACATCACCAAACTATCCTGTCATATTGTCACTAACATCTGTTTTGCAAACACACAGGGAGCAGTGGGTCTTGTCACAAAAGTAACCATGTGATGACTCTTTTTCCTGCGTTTTCCACTGATGATCACACATTCGGGCAGTGGCAGTGAACCAAATTGTCGCCTGGGTTGCTACGGGTGACTGGAGGACTGACTTTTGAGCTCCTGAGGCAAACAAGCACATGACAGATTAGTGTGTGGGCCTCCTCCAGGCGTCCACCTCTGTGACCCTTAGGAGTCCCCTCCTTACACCCCCTGCTCTTACCCCTAAAGCCAACCCCTGCCTCTCCTTTGTTCATCCAAACTATCAACAACCTAGAGAGATGGACAAGCAAACAGATTTTTATGTTTTGCAGTCAACAAAAAGAGGCTAAAGTTACTTTGAATAATATTTTCAACGTAAAACTTTTTTGTCTGATCTATTATCAAACACAGTTATTATTTTTTTTTATTGAACCGCTCAGTTAAATGAAATTATAGGTAAGTCGACTATTTGTTTATTGAAAAAAAAGTACTGTGCCATGTGTATGGGAAAGAAAAAGTAGGCACCAACAAATATGGAATAAATAGCTTTTGGCAGTTCGATGTAAAAGGAGGAAGGGCTATTTCAAACTGTTTGCAGATGTGTGTCTGCACCAGCTAAATGCTGCTTGTACTGGAACAACACAGAAGGATTAGAAGGACTAGAGGAGCTTAAACAAAACTGGGGATACTACAGGGCTGACTGTTTAGTCTACTCAAACAACATGTCCTCTCTTTTTGAGGAATGGACTTGTACACTTGTTTATCGTATGGAACAAACATCCGTTGCCAGGTTTGGCCATGCCTGCATCCATGTCTTGTGAATGACCCTAGCCGACTCTTTTATGTGCGTCTATAAAGGGTGGCAGAGAGAGCAGCTCCCATAGGAGGGCTCGACCTGACGATGACACCCTGTCGTCATGGAGACTAATGCTATGTTGGGCTTGGATCGGGAGTGTGCGCATGTGTGGGTGGGGCAGGGGGGATAGCTACTGTCACTAGTGTACCTAATGATGTTTTCAGCACAATGCTCTTAACTCTAAGACGCTCCTCGCTCTGGTGAACACCTGTGTTATCTGCACTGGTATCTTTACTGTTCTCGTAGGTACATTTCACTTTTCAGTCAAAACATAGCTCATTAGTCAATACTCGTACTGGTGTTACATTTAGGATGATAAAAGCCAATTATACTAATAGCTACATTTAAATACCATCTACCCATACATAAACATTTCAGAGCTGAACATTTAGTTCTACTTCACAGTCCAAGGACTCTCTAAATGACTAAAGGATATATCACTTCCCTTTCAAGGAGCCCAGGGGACCAATACACCTGGCTTAGCAGCTTAACAGCATTTCCCAAAACACCCAGGCCAAAGGGTGGCCCAGCACAGAACTTGAGACGCTTGATGCTCTAGTTGGCTACCTACTTGCTCGTCTGACTGACCGCTCTCCCTCTCTCCTACGATCCCTCACTCCCTTGTTTGAGTGCACACACTTAAGGAAAACTTTCAATTTGGCCCCGATTGCTCCTGAGGTTCCTTATTTATTTTCATAGGTGTTGGAGACTTTACACTAGTCAAAAAGACAAGGCCAGAGCCCAGAGAGGTATCTTTGCATCTGAGTGCTTCCTGTTTTCATTGCTAGGCCAACCCTTGTCTTTACAGGGGTTAGTAAGGGTTAGCGGGGGGTTAGCAGGGGTTGAGAAAGAAGGAAGACCAGGGGCGCCAAGGGGCTAATTGTAAAATTTAAAGTTTGCTTTTGCTGAGCACAAAAGGGCATTACTTTTGCAAAGGTAGGAAAAAACTCCCATCACTGCAATTTTACAAATCTGACACGTTCTCTGAAATCTTTCTCTAGCTACTTATCTGACTCTCTCTTCCTATCCTGAATTCTGTGGTCCATGCTTCTGAAGTGCAGCAGAACATTTTACCCCTAACAGTGAAGTTTACCTTTCTGATAACATAATCTCCCTGTAGTATTGAAAAGCTTATACCAACAGTCTGGGATTTCCCTTCCCCTAATGTGGCTGGAAGACATCCAGAACCTCATGGTGAGGGAGGGGGGTATTAGAGAAAAAGAGTGGGAGGGAAGATAGAAGAAGGGAGTGGAGAGACAGTCTGACCCTCTTCTGCCAGCTAACACCAGCTGATCTGTTCAACACTCTGCCAATTGCATATGGAGCATTTAAGGTTGCCAGCTCTGCAGTCAATACGCATATGGCCTTGACATAAAAGAGATCAGGGTTATCGCCGCCTTCTCTGATTGTGCAATTGTGAAGAACTGTCTCTGAGATCAATATGGTGCAAAAACTGTACTTTCCCCTTGCCTGGGAAATTGGCATACCGAGATTAGCGGTAAATATGACTTCAAGTGAGGTTACTTGCTATATATGACCGTCATGAAGGAAACAATCTTGTGAGTTCTCCCATGAGAGTGTGAGGTCAGAGTAAAGCAAGGGAGGGTGGGAGGGGAGAGGCAAAGGGCAATTTTGTTATACTGAATCTAAAAGCCAACAGTTGTTACTACTGGCCTGTGTTGTTTTTTTGTGTTTGAAGGGGGTCCTGTCCTTTTGAGCTTTTCAGAAGATGTGACAATGGCTGGATGTTGAGAACATATGTAGAGAGACCCCTGCGGCTCATGGAAGAGGAGCTCCATGCTGGCCCCTCAGTTTGAGAAAATACAAGCCCGCTCCTTTCACTCCTCACCCCTCAGTTAATGAATGCGTGAATGGCAGAATGCCGCTATAGGCCATTCAGGGGCCAAAGTCCCCAAGAATTCACCTTTGCACAAATGCATCCAGCTATGGCAAATACATTTGCTTAACAAATTAAAAGAAAGAAGAATGGTTAATGGGTGTGAGTGTGTGTGTTTGTGTGTGTGTATGTGTGTGTGAGCAAGAGAAAAAGAGCGAAAGAGTTTATGGGTGGGAGAAGTGGATGGTGAGAAGAGAAGGGGGATAATTCAATTAGCCGTCTTCCTCAGCAGAGAAATGAAGGCAGGTTAAAAGGGAGGGATTATTATTTGTACGAGACTGGCCAAGGCTTTGCACAAAAGAAACAAATAAAGATTGGATAACATCTACAAGCAGGGTTTGTGATAAAGGGGTGAGAGGGAAAGGGGAAAAAAGAGGGTCTGAATTAACCAGCGTTCTGAAAAAATGTGCCCCTCCTTTGCTCACCGCTATTTCAATTCAAATTTAAAACAATTCTAAAGATAATTGGCAGGGACTCTTCCAAAAGGTCTGTGCAGAAGCTGTATGGGGCTTTCATCAGGAAAAATGACCAATCTTGAGAGAATTTCTAGCCTTACCATAAAGCCTGTGTATATAATTTGTTATTTTGTTGTGTTTTAATGACACACAAAAAAACAGGTAATCTTAACAATATTTGAACATTTTTCTTTCAACTAACAGTTAGTGGTACTCAAAAGTTTAATGTCTGATTGAAGCCTGGTCTGTAGCATTTGGTGAGAGGTCTCCAGTCAGAGAGCGATGGGAGCCGCGAACAGCTGTGAAGTCATTTTGATAATGATGAGAATAATAAGCGTGCAGACTGGCGTGGTGGAGCCGCTAAGGCCTGCGAGGCTCAGGGCTTTGCTGTTGCAGCTTCACTGCTCCTGAATAGATAAAAGTGATTAAAGCACTCCTGATTATCCCTGACCAATATGTAATGGATTTACAGCCCTTTCAATTAGGCTGTATTTGCTGGCTGCTTATTACTTGGGCTTTTGGTTAGGTAATCAGGGTACGGGGCTTTGAGCTGGGAGTGGGCACTGTGGTGGTGGTGGGGGCTACAGAGTGCACAAAGGGCACATGACCCTCTTAAATGTGCGGATGTTCTAAAAGACTCTAAACTAAGGCTCCTTTACTTTCACATTCTCTCTCTCATTTCTTTTTTTTATTTTCCCCATCCCCCTAAACTGTCCATCCATCCCTGGAACGGGGAACCGCAGCCTCAAGCAGCTTATGTGTCCCGGCGTGGCCACCTCCTTCTGAAATCTGACCTGTGTTGCAAAATCAATACAACCTGATGTTCTGATAATGTCCTGACATTAGAAAGGGAGAGGGGACATGTGGACCACCCCGTTTCACTAAGAAACATACTCACGGGAAAATAACGGTTGTGATTTTACAGTTTACATTTAAATTACTGTGACATTTAGACATATGATCCAAGACTCTGATCAGTCATTGTCAGAGATTTCTGACAGAATTGTACGGTAAACACTTTCCTATGGAGCTATGGAGAAGAAATAAACTAACACGTGTCAATTTTATCGAGAGATAAGTAGATTAAGGTTCCCTTATTCCACAGAAAGACTGATTATGTAAAGAGGCCTTCAATTCCACATCCTACTTCTTTACACAGCTACACAGTCACAGTCGTTCTCTTTTATTCCCCAGTTGTTTTTTTTATCATGCTGCTTGTTCAGGCCAGAGCTGCAGTGCATCTCGTACTAGAATAAATGTCTTGGATTGCTGGGTCTTTTCTTTCTTTCTTTCTTTCTTTTTTTTTTTACAGAAAGTGTGCTGAGCAGAGTAAACAGCCCAAACTGATTAGATTGACCTGGTCACTGTGTCCCTTTGACAGGTGGCTGACAAGTGAGCATCGCAGCAGCACCATCACTCTCCCTCCTCAGTAGCTACTGTGTGACAGGTGCGTGTGAGTATGTGTCTTGAATGTGAGTGTCTCTAAATGTTTATTTGGTTTGTTGTGTTTGTTTTTTTAAAATAATATAGACATATCTCCAAATTATAATGGTTGTGCTTACCGTGAGATGCTGGAACAGCCACGCCCTCATGATGTTTGTGGCCACCTTAGGGAAAATGCCACGCTTTTTCTGCCTCTTCTTATCCTTGTCTGGATCATCGTCATCCCCTGTGCCAGGCGATGCAACGCTGTTGTCTAAGCCATCTCCTGGACGGAAACCAAACCCAGGGTTAAATAACATCCCCGACCACACCACAGGCTCAGAATACAATAGCAAAAAAAAATGGAACAGAGGTATACAGTCAAAGCTGAGTTTAAGGCTCATGAAAGATGGATAAACGGACAAATACCACAGATAACTTTGAAAGAACTGGAAAGTGCTGCACTAAGGCCAAACGAATTTCCACAGCAAAGCCAGTGTTGTGTAGTGAATATATGGAGGTAGGGGGATTTAGATGGCCTTAGACGAAGGGCTGTACAGAGACTGAGAGGTTTACATGGAAGCCTCGCAGAGCTGCTCTATACCCCAGAGCACGGGAGGGGAATAGGGGTTAATGACTCTAATGTTATGGTTGGACGCTGAAACACTGGGTTCCTCATTCCATTTTTACAGTAGGAGGAGATGGAAAGAAAAAAAATGGACACAGAGCCTTCAAGTACAGAAGAGACATGGACTCATGTCATTAATTCAATTAAATTTGCATGCTTGACATAATGTAGAGCATTTTTTCCCATCTTTTGATGAGGGCCAAAGGGGACAGGATGGAGTTATGCAGATATGTACTGTAACACACAGAAATTCATGAATTTAGGACATCCAGTTAAAGTGCGTGGAAGTAAATGTTATTTGGGGTGGTTCATTGTTGCACTTCGATGCACATAATGGACTCTTCATCGGCTTCCCGAAACCCTGAACAACCCCACCCCCAAGCTTCCGCCACGAGATTAGCATGACCGGCCAGCGGCGGCTTTGCCTGCATTAATGTCCATCAGCGTTTGATTTCACAAGGGAAGCGTGCACATACCCGGGCACGATTTCTCCTTTAAATTGAAGTTTCCATCTTTGTCCCTTGCCTTTTCCTTGTTCGTCTTCCTCGGCATTAATTGTGCATTAGCAAAAATGATTTACTTTTAACAGTCATAGTTATTTTTTCTTGCCCCCGGGCACAAATGCCTTGAAAGCCTTCCTTGAGGGCATCTAAATTATGTATCTGAAAAACTCCTCCACTAAGGAAGAGAAGGACCCTGACATTCTCAAAATTCAGACTCATATGTCCTCCTGTTTTTGGAGAGGCATCAATCACAGCCACCTATACAAGCCTTAATCTCGCATAAATATTTGAACTAATAACATTAAAAAGGGGGAAAGAAAAAGGATCCGACTAGTGGCGTAATCTAATGCAAAATAAATGAAGAATACAAGGACAGCGGGGGCCCGCACTAACTACTTTTCCCAGTTTTTTTTCTTCCCCTTGTTTTTGCCTCTCTTTTTCTTCTCTGTCTTGCACAGTGTTTTCCTTCCAGATCATTAGTGGAGAGCCACACGAAAGAGGAAAACAGAGAAGTGCCGACTTTGCGCTCCCTGTGTGAAGTTAAAGAAGCAACAGTCCTTCTGAAGGACACATGGGAATGGGGACACAGGCTAGGGGTGTTGTAATTGTAGAATGGGCATTCATTAGTGGCAAATGCCATAAATCCCAGACTAAGTATGAATCCTTGTTCAGGAAAGCTTAAAACAATAAACTTTGGTCTGGCCATAGCCCTACCCTGACTGTGAGGGGCTTCCTGAGAAATGTGACCCAGACGGAAGCTAAGTCTAACTCCCTGAGTTTGCTTCCAAACTTCAATAAAAACACAACTAGTGAGCTGTGAATTTTAACCAACTCCCTTTTGTTTCACTGCTTTTGAGCTTCACTGAATAATGTTGATACACAGTTTGCTGTTTGTTTGTATGCCGCTAGGTTTTGTGTTGATTTTCGAGCTACTCTCCAAATCCCTCTCCTGCTGTGAGCAGTCAGGCTCATCCAATAGAACCACACAGTGGCCAAAAGGCTGGCAGATTAATTTTATTGACGTTTCCATTTTCACTGCAATGCGATAGCCTCCCCCCCGGCCAGGGCCAGAGCGACCCGTGCGTATTTACAGACTGACCTGTCACTTCATTACCCAGCATGCTCGCTGCCTCCTGCCCTAGCCCGCAAGGATGAAACCAGACTCCGGTGCTTTTCAGCTCCTCTCTCTCTTACATGTGCACGGATGCTGACATGTGTCCACAGATCAGGCATGTGGCATTCGAGCATTCATTCTGTGTACAGTTTAAATACAAACTGTGTACAGCTTTTGTATGACTTCAAATATGTGAAAATGTGCACACAGTAAATAAAGAATAAAGAAAAATCAAATGTGGACAGAACATGAAAAGAAAGAGCAAAGAAAGAAGAGAAACAAGAAGACGCAAGAAAAAAAAGGAGTAGAAATAGAATAAAGAAGATCCAACTTGCACAACCTCATTACATCTAAAGGAGGGCTGGTGCTTTGCATCCACCCCCACTCCTTTCTTATGAGCGAGAGAAGGAACGCTGCAGGGCAAATTGTCCCAAACGCTAATGGCTTCTGACTGTTCCCTGGCAACTCTGCCATTCTAACCTGTGTGGATGTGCACTCTGAAAAAAAAAAATCAGGAAAGAAAAAAAAAGTGCAGAGCAGGGGGATGAGTGTCCCATCATCTGGCCATGTGACACAGATGGGGGTTGGCTATTAGGAGGCAGTCGAAAGGCCTAGGGGAGCTGAGGTGCTGGAGTGTAGCCCCAGGCACTTTTGGAAAAGCAGCGCCCTTGGAGACAGAAAAAAGACAGCCCCCCCCCCCCCCCCTCTCTCTCTCTCCCACTCTCTCTCTGTCTTCCCTCAACCTTTCCTCCTCCCTCCTTTTCCCTCACTCACGCTATCAAGATCTTGACTTAAAGTGTCTGCAATGAAAGTTTCTGTGCAGATTTTCAGATGCACGCAAGTGGAGAAGGTGTAATCAGGCAAGATGGAAGACAATGACCGGACGCGATCAGGGCGAGAGAGTGAATGAGTGAGCGCACTAGCAAACAAACAAGCACAAGTCCAAACCACATTACGCTCGCACACATTCCCTCTCTCATCACCAGTGGGTGGTTATTAAAAATGCATTCAGATATATCTCCTTGTGAGTAAATTGGTCTCAGGGCTGAGCTCATTAACGGGTCGGGATAGGACTGTAAACACACTGCAACTCGGCTTATCTAATGCTGGCACATTCAGGGTCACTTCAGGATTTCTTGCATCGAAAATTGTAAAGTACAAAGTGTCCTACAGTCTCTGCTTAGAATAGGGCAGACTTCAGTGGACTTTTAATGACTTTAGAGCAAAAGTTGTATTGTGTCTAGTAGGTATCCTGCCCCTTAGGGACCCACTAAGGTCGAGTCTGTCTTGTGTATATGACCATGAGTAACATATACTGCAGCTATCAGTATAACAAGAATGCCCTCCCTCTGCTGCTTTGCCGTTTTCATATGCGTGAATAAATAATGACTTGTCAATAGCTGGAAAACACATTCAAATCCAGCCATGTTTAGTTATCACATAACACTCCAGAGTGGTCCATATACCATTAATAATAATACCGTGGAGCCTCTAGACAAGCTTTAGATGTTGTGTGTGTGTATCATTGTAAAGGCTGTGCAGTGATTTTGCACTAGGAAGTCTGGGCGTTTATTTCAGGGTAATGAAGCAAGAGTGTAGAAGCAGTGGCTTATGGAAGCTGTGGTTAAAGTGACTAATTACAACAGACCCCCCACGCCCCCTGTCAGCCCAAACTAGTGAAGCGTGTTCACCCAAGCTCACCCAAAAAAAGGGGGGGAAGAGAAAAACTCATGAGGAGAGTTAGATGGAAAGAGGAGCAGATGGATACCAGAAGCTTGGAGTTTTGCTGCTTTAGGAGCTTCGCTGGTCTTAGCACACCATAGTGACCGGGCCCTACACCTCTCCCTCCAACACCCTCCTATTACCACCACCTCTATCCATGCAGGCTTGGCCGCAGAGAATGAAGTGAAAAGAAGAAGGGGGATTTAGAGCCTCCCTTTTCCCCCTTTTTCTCCTCAACTTTTCAGCCAACATAAGCGGCGTTTAGCACATTCAGTCCCCCAAATGGCAGCGAATGAGAGAAGCAGTGGGGGCTCCTCTTTTGTCCGTCTGGTTACCCCTTTTATTTACTCTGGATTTACGGAGGGGTCTTTGCTGGCTCTGGGACCACATGCTCTTGACGCACACACAATCTCTCACATAGGCACATACACAAACACATAGAAGCTCTATTCACACTAGTGGAATGGCTATTTCTCTGCTTCTCTGTGCCGACTAGGGATTACAGATCATCTTGCTATAACTGCAAGCTAGCAATATGGTTTACATTCATGTGAAACACAACGCAAGTGCTAACAAGTAAAACACGATTGCCATACCGGTTAAACACACACACTCAAACTTCCAACTTTTAGATAAAAGTAAAGCATCTGTGAATTTGTGTCTTCATGTGACCACACACCACAGACGCCATATGGTTTACTGCACTCATTCAGATCCATACAGTAGATGAGGGCTCTAAACTGAACTGTTTTAGTGTGGCTGCACCACTGCAGCCAGTGTTTTACGCTGATTATTTCCTGATCTGTGCTTAAACAAGCAGCAGCCCTTGCACTGGACCATAAAACAACAGCTTAGTAAACAGCAAGCATGCTGACAAATTGGTAGCGCTCAGGCCGGAGTCATTAACAGCCTTAAAACCTGTCAGAGCAATTACAACAAACTCTCTCCTTCAGCAAGTCCCCCTGCCAAACTCAGATGTCACCATCCGCCTCCTCTTTACCACCCCCCGTTACTGCCAGGACACTGGCTAAAGGTGAATTAGAAAGCACTACCATTTTTCCCCTCTCTTCTTCTCCAACAGCCATGACACCCCAGAGAAATGAGGACAAACCTCCATCTCAAACACAGCTGTATCTGCATCCTGGGGGCTACAACTGAGTGGTTCCTTTTGCATGAGAAATAATGTGTAGTTGTCTCCCCTGAAAAACACATCATTAAGTGTTCCCTTAAATGAAGTGGAATAAGAGCTTCTAATTAGATGTTTTTTTTTTCTATGTGTGGGGAAGCGAGGCAGTCAGGCAGTAAGAAAGGCATGGAGA